CTTAAGGGACTGCTCTTGAGAGAGGCAAAATCCTGACTTCTTTACAGTACTGTTAAATGAAGTCATGGTAACAAAATGACTATAAATAGGTCATCTTCCATAATATACCAGTCTTTTATATATTTTCATATTATGTGGTATTTAGAGAAGGAGGACAAAGGCAGCCTTAGTATTTCAAAGCCACCGTAGGCATGAAACCGGGAGTTTGTGCCGTTGCACTGAAGCATGAAACAGCGTTGTGTTCAGGGGAGCGCAGGTTTATTTTCTGTGTTTAAAAGCCCTGAGCTCCTGTGCCAGGTGCTGCGCCCAGGTGTTGGCAGCGGGGACGGCTGGGTGGGGAGAGGCCAGCTCCAGGTGGTTCTAGAAGAGACCTGATGCAGGGCACAGCTGAGCCCATTAGCAAAGCTGGTGATGCCTCTGGGGGAGAGTGTTTTAAGAAAAAGGGCAAATGGCCGCACAGGCAGTGAGGATGAGGCAAAAAAAAAGAGAGAAACAGCCCCACAAACACACCCAGGCCAGAGCAGGAGGAGGGCAACAGGTCGCGGAGCGGGTATCCACACTGCGGTCTGTGGGGAGGGCCACACCAGAGCAGCTTTGTCCTGAAGGACTGCAGCCCTCGGGCAGCAGCCGTGCTGGAGCAGGGGAAAAGTGTGAGGAGGAAGGAGAAGCCAAGAGGAGCTGGTGTGGACTGATCCCCGCTGGTGAGGGAGGAAGGGTGGAGGTGTTGGGAATGAGGGAGTGAAGTTGGGCCTGGGAAGAGGAGGGGTGGGGACAAAAGGTTTTAGGTTTTTTTGGTCTTTGTTTCTCACCACCCAATTCTATTTTATTTGGCAACAAATTAAATTAATTACTTCAAGCAAAGTCTGTTGTGCTGGGATGGTATTTGGTGGTAATTGGTAAGTGATCTCCCTGTCTTTATTGCAAGCCAGAAATATTTTCGTTTTATTTCCCCTTCCCTCCCCCCCCACACCCTACCCCCACCAGCCTGTTGAAGAGGAGGACTGGGGGGTTGAGAGAGCAGTTGGGTGGGGGCCTGGCAACTGGTAAAGGTCAACCCACCACAAAAACCAAACAATCTTTTGACTTTTGATCTCTATAGAGTTAATATGGAGTTATTAAAAGAAAAAAGCAAATTGTTGCCAGAATTCTAATTTTTGATGTGTAGCTGTACATATGAAGATTATTCAAGCATTCATAAGAGTAACTTGTTAGTAGAAACAGATCCAAGAAATACAGCAAATGTTTTTGTATCTGGGAATAGTAAAATAATAAGGCACTAAGATGTGTGAGAGGACAGACTTGTGCTGCTTGTAAGAAGAGGGTCCCCAATTAAGGCTGTCCAGATTCTTTGTCCCTGACACACATTTATTATTACCATAAAAGTTTTGGGTACTTGCTTACTTTTATATTGGATGCAAAACATCTGCCAAATATGTTTATAAATGTTCACAGCAGATCATTTGGGATGGACTGATAAGGTGTTCATTGCTTGGTAGCTTGTGATAAAGCTAGATGAAAAATGAAGGGATTATAAGTTGTATGGAAATTTACTATAAAACAGAATGAACACTTACATATCAGCTTGTCTTGCATTTTTTTTATTTAGCTACTAACAAGATGATAAAGTTTCAGGTTTTTGCTTATGGTGCTACTCTGACTAAAATTGCTTGAATGGCTCTGATGCTTAAAATTATTTTTTTCTGGAAATGTGGTGTCCAGCATCATCTGTTTCATTTTAAGCAGTTTTCTTTACATGGGGGTAGGAATCTTGATCAGCTCAGCTTAGTGTTGTATTTTGAAGGTCTTTTTGTCTTGAAAGAGAGAAAGCAGATGGAAGTCATTAAAATATCTGCATCTCTCTCCCAGAGGGAGCTTATTGGTCACTAGACTCTTGTAGTGTGAGGAGGGGTGTTATAAACTGGTTTTTGACTGGTTCAAACTCTTTACCACCTGCAAGCCTGGAATTAAGCTACTCTCAAAGCTGTTCTAGGGATCCTTTCTCCCCCCCACAAGTATTTTCCTTCACTTTCATGGATCTTGCGTCTATGGTTCACTTCATAACTGTTTGCCTGAGATCACAGCTACAGCTTCTCTGGCTTTTCCACTGTCTGATACCTCTCCCTTCCTTCCTTATAGGGGACCTTGTATTTTCTGAAAAGGACACCATATGTTTAGCACTCTATAAATATTTGCTCGTTCCATTTAAAAGAGATGAAATATTTTTTGAAGAGTAAGTCTGAGAACTAAAGCTGAAAAGGGTGTATTGTAATGATCATGGAACACAAGAGGTGTTTGAGCTCTGAGAGGTTTGAGCTTGAGGGGTTTTCTTTTTTTCAGATCATTGTGTAGTACCTAATGTGACTAGCTGTTACAAAATTGTATTCTACAATCTAATTTCTCATTTATTTGTATTTAAAGAGAGTACTTCTGATACTTATGTAAAAAATAACCGTGTAAAAATAAGTCCATAACATATAGTAAATTAACCAGCATACTGTTCTGGACTTGAATGCATTGATAACCTTGGACCATCATTACAAGAGTGAGGGAGTGGCTCAGCAGGTTTATTTGGGAAGTCTGGATATGACAATTTTGGAGCTTATTCTCATCATCATTTCATTGCCAACTGTCTTATTGGTAGAATATACCTAATTTACTTACTTGATAGTCCCAAACTCCATTGTCTTCATGTTGTATTAGAAGTTACCTTTTCTTGTTCCCATAAATAGCATATAAAAATGGACATTTCCTATACCTACTGTCTTCTTCAGCTTAAATAGGATTTACTTTTGACCACATTTTGTGAAAAAACCTAAACACAAATCTAGTAATTTTATACTTATTAGCTATGCATTATTATCTTCTTGGAATAAGTATTTTCAGCCCTGGAAATATATGTATTTCTGTTGGATCTGGTGTCTGTATTTAATTTTTTTCAGGCAGGACCAGAACCAATGCTGATGCATAGTTGAAGGATTGTGTATCTTTTAATCTCAAAATTGTTCGGTAAGAACAGCAGATGATTCCATCTGTGCTTAACCTGCTTCAGCAAAACAGATGTGTCATCAGGTTCAGAGAAATTAACAAATTGCTGATCAAAATGCATTGCATTGAATTGTGTTTTCCTAAGTCACGCAAATGTAGTGGTCTTGTAGGAAAACAAACTCAAGTAGATGGAATTTATTTTTTCATCTCATCTTACCTATTTTTGGTAAAACAAGTGAAAAACATTTTTTTCTAATAATATGTTGCAGTAAAAAACACTTATGTTTTTCTTTGTATGTTCCTCTATCAGATCTAGTCTTCATAAACACAGGTATCTTTATTTAGAGAGTTTTTATAACGCACTAATTTACAAGCAGAAATGTGATCAAGACTCTGCTCGCTTATGAGGTCTCAGTTTCGGTCCATCTAGTCAGTGTTTTACCCAAGTGAGATTCAAACATTTCAAGCTTTGCACACAATGGGAATGGAGCTTAGTTGTTTAAAAAAATAGCATTTAGCTGCAATATGATATCTTTTTTTTTTTTTTCTTGGGATCCTCATTCATTGCACATTGGCCATTTTATGCAATATGAGACATGGCTGTGTAGAGAAGAGCTGCCTTGACACACAATTCTTATCTAGCAGATATTAGAGTAGTTTCGACATGCTTCCTTATCTTACGGGTGCTTATAGGTGGCCTTGGTTGTTAATGTCAGACTTTCCTTCTCGTGGGCTTCCCATATAGTTATCTCCTGCAGGGGAAAAAAATATTTCCACTTCTGTCTGGTTTTTAGGGCACTGGTTTCTTGGTTTTTTTTTTTTTTTTTTTTTTTTTTTGTTTGTTTGTTTTGTTTTATTGTTGGTTGACTGGGGGTTATTTTGTGTATGTGTGTATTTTTTTTTTCTCTTGTTTGTTTTGTTTTTCTTTTTCTTTTTTTCCTCCTTATTTAAAGAATACGATTTCTTTTGGAAAGGATTGCAGTGTTAGCTGGTTAGATTTTTTTTTTTTTTTTTTTTTTATTCTGATGGGGTGGTAGTGTGGGGTTTTTTTTTTATTGTCTGTGGTAATTGTCCTCTTTTAAAGTGGTGGATTTCATCATTAATTGCTTTAGTCCCTTTTAGAGTGCAGATAATGAATATTCATATACCACCCACCTAACATGGGGTAAATTTTGGTAGTTGGAATATCAGAAATATTAAAAGTGGTTTTCTGTTGTGGTGAATCATTGTTGCTAACTGTTCAGAGCCGTTAAGTTAGCTGCTGACAGAAAACAAACTTTTTCATCCCTCTGTTACTTTCAATCTAAAACTTTGAATTTATCATATGATTGGAATAAGTGATCCCTGCTGCACATAATGAATCCTCTTATCTGTAGCATTTAGGATCCATCAGAAAATGAACCCCTTAGCAGATTGAACCAAAACTTTAGAAATAGGTTATTCTGTTTAAATAGCATCAGTTAACACTACTTTTTGATACAAATATTTTAAAGCTTGTACAAACTGGATTAATGTTCCTCTAGGGTAATTAAATGAAAATTTGGTAACTTATTAATCTTTCTCTCTTTCTTTTTCTTTCTTTCTCACACTCTTTCTTTTTCCAAACTTATTAATCTCTCCTCCCTTCTTTTTCTTCCCCACTTTTCTCCCCTTCCCCCTCTCTTTCTCTCTCTTTCTCTCTCTTTCTCTCTCTTTCTCTCTCTTTCTCTCTCTTTCTCTCTCTTTCTCTCTCTTTCTCTCTCTTTCTCTCTCTTTCTCTCTCTTTCTCTCTCTTTCTCTCTCTTTCTCTCTCTTTCTCTCTCTTTCTCTCTCTTTCTCTCTCTTTCTCTCTCTTTCTCTCTCTTTCTCTCTCTTTCTCTCTCTTTCTCTCTCTTTCTCTCTCTTTCTCTCTCTTTCTCTCTCTTTCTCTCTCTTTCTCTCTCTTTCTCTCTCTTTCTCTCTCTTTCTCTCTCTTTCTCTCTCTTTCTCTCTCTTTCTCTCTCTTCCCCTCTCCTCCCAAAAATATGCCTTTACAGAAACATAAGGTAGATCTTTTCTACAAACTGCGGCATGTGATGAATGAACTCATTGACCTACGTAGACAGCTGCTGTCAGGTCACTTGACACAGGATCAGGTGCGAGAGGTCAAGAGACACCTCACAGTGAGGCTGGACTGGGGCAATGAGTAAGTACAGGTACCACCTGGGTACTGTTTGTTCTAATTATTTTTAAATAGCTTTTATGAAAAAGCAACAAAAAAAAAAAAAAAAAAAAAGAAAAGAAAAGCCAACAACAAAACCACCATTTTCCTTCCGATAGTATTTGTGTGTAGGTAGAACATTGGAATATTTGGAAATCAAATACAGCTTTTTACAGTGAGTTTATTGCATAGTTCTATTAATAGTACAAAATGAGCTGTTTGCTTATTAGACCTTTTCTAAGGCTATCTGCACTTTTAAAAGGATTAAGTCACCTTACTTCGTGTCAATATAGTGAGCCTTAGGCCTGGGAGAATGTGTTTATAGATCCTAAAACCACATTTTTTTCAGTTAAGTGTTTTAATCATTGGCAGAATAAACGGAGAACCTCACTGTCAACAGTGACATTGGAGGTGAGGCTGTGATATTTAGGCTTTTTATATAATGCCATTTCTCAGAGGCTTAGACTCTCTCCTTGGTCAGTTCCATGGTGAATTTGTGGAGAGTTTTTTTTAGAGCCAGAGAGGACTGCAATTCAGATAGAAGCTGAAACGGTAATAAATTGTGATTAGACAAAAACTAGCCCTTCACCAGACTTGCTTTTGTTCTGAGATATATAGTGTATCAGACAGGTAAGTTTTGCATGACACACATATGACCTTTTGAAAGGAAATATTACCCTCTTCAGGCATATAGCAACTGCTATTCCACCAGGAGTATGACTTGTGCTAATTAACATATAGGGGGTGGGGAAGAATTCTGTAACTTGACAACTAAGGAAGAAAGTCAGATGTTTTTCACTAACATGTCTTTGTCATGACTCTGTTCCTTAGTCACATACTTGAGGACTCCCTCCGAGACACACACTTGAATACATTCATGAAGATTTAGCTAGCCCCCATGCTACATTTCATTTCTCCCTTGTTGAAAGAAAGCTCTGAAGGATAGACTAATAGATTGCATCAAGTCATTGTTCTGCAGTGCGGAGTTACAGATACTTTCCTTTATCATTCCCAATAGAGTAAATGGGAACCAAGAGACCATTTTTGAACATTATGCCTAGACATTTTTGCTCGAAGAGTGTATGGATGCAATTAGCTGCAAAAATGTAAGAAAAAAAGATGAGGAGAGTAGACAGCAATGCAGCAATGACGAGAATAGGTTGTTCAATTAGGTGGCTATAGACACCTTTTTTTAAAAAATATAAAATCATTAAATACGAAGTACATTAAAACTATAAAGGTAAATCTAATGCATGACTATTATGGAGAAGCATCAGTGAAATCAGTAAATATAAATATGTTCATGATTAAATTAATCTGCTCAGGATTAATCTGTTCAGGAAAAAAACCCAATTCTGTGTTTCTTCCTACATAAGAACAGGTACTGACCTCCCTAGAGAAAAAGGTACATGATATCAGAGATACATGGTTAAACAGAAGGGGGTATCAAGGAACTGCATAAAAAGGCATGTGGTTTGAATTGAAAAGGTATTTAGTTAAATCTGTACATTGTACAGTATTTATATTTAAATATTTGGGAGTTTGGAAGGTCTTTCTGCAACATCACTCTTTTCCATAGAATTTCTGTGAGAGCTCTATCACTTTCTTATATCTCCCCTCAAAGTTTTATCGTGAAACTCATGGCCACCTGTCTTAATCTGTTAAAATAATGATTTTTATATACATATTCACATAGTACTGCCCTTTCTCAAATAATGCAATAATGTTCATTGCTTAATCTGTCATACTTGAGATTTTCAAGTTATTTGCAAATAAAATAAATGAAAAAGATTGATATTAACATGTATTAATTTAGCTGAGAAGCTCAATTACATGCAATTTGAGCAGGTCTGTAATTATTCAAGATAGTACAATCTAACAGGAGACATTCCATGACCAAGTAGCTTTCAGGGAACAGCTAATCTCAGACGTGTAATACGTAGCACGTGTGTTTATTTAGTGTAAATCTACTTTTATCCTGACCTTGATCATTAATTAATTGTATTATTTGGGAATGAGTGACGCAAACATGAAATGCACACTTCCTGTTACCACCAGTTAAGGTTTTTTTCAGTTTGTTGAACTGGTATCATTTTCCCTTAAATATACTTGCAGTGGTTCTGGTAGTCATCCCTTGTGTTCTCGTAGGAGCTAGTGGAAATCAAGGGACAGATATGGTCCCTGGACTAGTAGTTACAGATTTTTTTTTTTTTTTTGTGAAAGAAGTCATTTGGACTGTTTTCAGAACTACTATGGTGAACTTATGTTTGCTTATTTTTGTATCCTTAGTCTAAATATTAAGAAGTTTTGCTCTGTAGTTTGATCTATTTAAATGTAGGTCTATTACTTATTCTACAATTTTTGGTGGTAACCTTTTGTATTATTGCTAGTTATTCTTATAATGCAATACTAATTTCCACTTATAGCAATTTAATTTTATCTTGCTTACATATTCTTTCTCCCCAGTGCAAAAATATCATCCTGGGTGCTTCCTTTTTATGATGCTTTGTTACTTCTTCCAAGTTAGCTTGGTTTTGCATGCATACACTGACTGGTATTGCTGCTATGTAGGTTTTTGTATTTCCCAATTGCTCAAAAGAGCAGAGTTTACTACCGTCATATAAGCATCTTAGTGGTTTTAGACTTTCAGTTTTAAGCATCCTTCTGTGTAATTTTACACAGCTGAAGTGTCATATACTATCTTTTTTCCTGCATATCTTGCTAGATTTTATACAGAATATAACAAATATTTGTGTTTTTAAAAAATGTTTAATTCTGACACGGTTTATTAGGATATTGATCTACTGAAGTTTGAAATGCTATTGGAAGTGTCCAATGGTCTGTAAATAACAAGGAAAAAGTTGTAGAGAAGGAAACAACTGACAGAATTTAATTGCAGCTGAAGTCTGCAATTCATCATCTTATTTTAAATCATGTTATAAAAAGAAATCTGCAGTTTTTCATCTAATTTTAAATCACATTGCAAGTAACATAGAAACTTGATTTTTGAAATACTTGTTTAAGTTTTTTTAAAATGCATTGGGTACGTTTTTCAACTTTTACTGGTGCCTAGAATGGGAAACCAGAAGTGAACTTTTTTACTAACAAAAAACTGTCTCATTCTAATCTTTTGCATCAAAAACAGGAATCTGCCTTACAGAGCTTCTATATGAAATGTAAATCCTCTGCTTCTGCTCCAGTGCAAAATACTAATTTCAGTAGTATGTGCGTACCTTATTTACTAAAAAGGCAGATGAAGATTTCTTCAAAGTAATTTAACTTCAAGATCAGAGATCATCTTAAGTGATCTTCAGGATTGATTATTTCAGATTAATACTGTACCTGCCAGGAGATTAACAGAAAGTATCCAAGTTTCTGAGCACAATCACTTTCCCTTCTGTACTGAGGGAAGACATTTCTTTCCCTATAAATATGGGATAGCTGCTCTATGTTTAGGCTCAGAAAAATATTAGAGGAGGGTGAGCCACCTATAGTTTGAGATTTTGGACAGATAAAAGCCATAAACAAGATGAGTTTGTATTCTTATATTACTTCTAAGTTCAAAGGTTTTTCTTTTGCACATAAAATTTTATTAAAATCATTGCATTAAAAGAAATCTTCCAAATAGTTGCCATAAATTCTGCACAGAAAGATCCACAAATAGGCAGAAGTTACAAATGAATGTTTAAAAAGGAAAACCGGTGGGGGGTGGGGGTGTGGGGTGTAGGAATTGTTAGAAATCAATCTTTCACGCTGTCATACAAATAAAATGAAACACTGTTTTAAAGTCATGGTCTTTCTCTTACCTCAGAATTGCAGTCAGAAAGTCAGTAGTACCTACTAACTACTAACACGCGTAACACTAGAGAGAATAATGTGATACACTGAAGTAAGCATGGCCTTAAAACACAAGTCCTAAATTTCAGTGCACACATCCTCAGAAGATTAGTTTTGGACTTTGGGTGACTAACCCTCTTGTCATATTTTTCTTGACATAAAAGGAATAATAATTGCTTCCTGGTAGTGTTGCAATAATTAGCTTAAAGTTTGTAAAATGTATTTGGAGATATGCATTAAATGTACATATGAGGTCATAATATCTGGAAATCAGTATAAGAATTAAATTCTTATTACAGTGGTTGTCATTGTTGCATCAGAGGTGATCAAAATAGGAGTGAGCAATTTAAACAACCGTAATGAAATGCCTTTAAGAAGGTTGCAGAAAGAATAGTTGCCATTTCTGTCTAAATATGTAATATTCGTTCCCTCTCCTGAATATGCTTGTAGTAATGATTGAAGAGGGATTAAAACTGTAAGGAACTCTCTTGGATGTCAGACTTTGAGGAAAACCTTAATAACCTCTCTCCATAGTCTGATACTTCCATGCTCAGAAGTATTTGCTGCCATTCCCTTTAATCAATTCCTTACTAAGATTACTTCCCTTCATCTCATCATCTTCATTTTAAGAAATAATTTCCTGTGTAGCGTTACATCAGTGCTTTACAAATTTCTTTATAGATTACAGCCCCTGCAGTTTCTTTGTATACAAAGTAACTTAATACTGTCAAAGAAAAGTAGCGAGTTGTATTAGCACAGTCTAATTTTCACAAACATGTTTTTCATATATTTTGTTTTCCATGGGTTTTTCTCTTTCAAAGTCTTTTTTAAAGTCTGCACATAGTTTATGTGAATTGCTGTCAGTATCGTTTCCTTTCCCTTTACCATCTTTATAAATGTATTTGTGGAAGAGAGATATGAATGACATTAAATGAGGCTTTGATATAGTGAGACAAGGAACACAAGTAAAACTGGTGGCTGCGAAATCAAAGCTGAAAAGAATGAAGGTAAAGTGCAAGTTTTTGGAGCAAAGGGGATGAGATCTTGCACGCTGTAGAGATGTCATGACTTCTCTCAATCTGTTCTTTAAGACTAGACATGCAATTTAAAGACTTTTTAGTCAGATAACGTATTTCTGCAAGGTTCTTCTAGGAAGAATTGTTATAGCTTGTGGGTTTGTGATTTCTAAATGATGTAGTATTGGTATTATAAATAAATGAAAATATTAGAAATTAGAATCATTCTTTGAAATTACCATTAAAACCAAGTTGACTTTCTCTAGAAGACCTGTTAACCTGAAGTAAAGTTTTATGTTCATCCCTTTCAGTATTAAAGATTCTAGTATTTCTGTCTGTCGGTTTGTCAGCATATTACTTGAAAGAAAATAATCTAGAGATTTGGGGTGGTGGATTCTGTTTAATTTTTTTTTTTTCCCCAAAGAAAGAAAAATTCTAAAGACTTCTATGTCTTCTATGTAGAAAGGGAGGAATATCTAAATGTCATTTGGAGTTATCCCAGGCATATGCTATCAAGAGGTAATCGGTAGGCTTGGGGATTTTTTGTAGGTATACTTGCGAAATATTTTTGAAAGGCAGTTCAATGTTAAGGAGGAATAAAAAAGCACATGAATTTGCTTGTAAAATAAAGTATTGTGGAGAGAAGAACTGTCAAGTAAACAAAACTGCACATTACCTAATTTTTATGCATGCTATGTTTTGGAGAAATACTGCTTGGCAGCTGGTGCTCTTATATTCCCACAGTATTTCATAATAGAGAGTGAAAGTGGGCCACTGACTATCATTGCCATTTCAAGCACTATGTTGTCAGTCCTTCGCAGGCAAAAAATAATTGATACAAATGAAATGCATAAACCCGAACTTCCATCTGCACAATAAATGACAGCATGGTAGTACTAAAGCAAAAGACACCTTTATTTGCTGGGAGCAAGTATTGTGCAGGATTAACATAGTATTAGAGAATGAGAATCTTCTGGGCTGGAAATCCGTGGTGTTAAGGGATTTAACTAAAAATAGGATATCGGATAATTTTCACAGGGATGCTACTGCAGTTGTGTTGAACATTATTAAGTAGAAGATAATACCTTTGTCATGTGTTGAGTAATGAGTCCAACCACCATTTGACCTCAGCTCTCTAGAGAATTGAAATGATGAGAATAGAACAGTATCAGGCTATGATTAGCTTTGGCAGTTTTTTCTGTAAAACTTTAATAGTGCTTTGTAACTGCATTGGAGCTGTAATGCACTTAGAAGTGGTTTTGATAATGTTATTAGGAAATCATTTGTTGCTATCTGTATGTTGAAGAGAAATTCCTTTATGAATACACTTTAGGACTTGGTGTGTGTAAACACTTGAATGACAGGGTATTTTGGAGGTGGTTTAGGTATGCAGATTCAGGAAAACTTCTGTGAATGAATATGATCATTAACTTTTGTAAAAAAATTTTTGAAGTGGACTCTTTGCATATTACTATTTTTACCTGTTACCATTTTTTTATATATTTTTTTTTTACTTTCTATTGTAAGTAGGCTCAAATAACAGCTGCAGATAAGCATTACGTTGTTCATTTTTATTTTAATCTTTTTCGTTCGGTAAATAGATACAGTAATTTTCATCGTTGCAGCTGCAGTTTTCAGATAACTGGTCTTGGACCATGGGTAATGGGTGTTTGATAGGTTTAATCAAAACAAAATGTGCAAAAGGTGTATAACTATCACTTTCACAATTTAGCCTTAAAGTTTAGAAGCTGGTATTTGGAATGAAAACTGCACTGAAGAAGGAAAATTGTTTCTTTTTCTGTTGAAAATGTAATTGCTTTTGGCAAGGAACTAAGAATGTAGAAACTCCAGTTTATCAGTACAGTATTTTGATGACAATTATAGTACTGTCAAACAGTTTTTTGCCAGCAAGTGGACCAGAACTGAGCTATTTTTTGGGGGATGTGATCATTTAAGGATATAATTAAGGAAGGAAGACCTGATTAAGCAAAGTTTCAAAAAGAATTATTGAGTTGGGAAACATGGGAAATGATTAAAAGTATAGTGGTCAGCAAAGGTAACTGGGCTTCATACAAACTGCTGGTGGTTCTTTGCTGTTGTTTTAAGTTAATTGTTCAGAAAGACACCATATTGCCTGGAGGCTTCTGTTTATTGCACCATACAATTATTCTGTGGTACCTGAGAGGTTTTTTCAAATAAAATTTTTCATTTGCCATCAGGAACAAGTCTGTGCAGAATGTTTCCCTCTCTGATTACAAAATTAAATTGACTTCTGCTTTCTTTTTTTATAGTTAGTGACAGAAAAAGTGCAGAGGTAGTCCATAAGGGTACCTCTTCTGAATTTTTTTTCTTAAAGACTATTAAAAATTTCAATATAAAATATCTGTTAATTATGTATCAAAGTTACATAAGAAAATGATTCATTCATATGTTTCTTTAATTTTACTCCTAATATGTATGCTTAGAATAGCTTTTTATTGTAATGCTTAGAACTCTTTATGCCTCAGAACCTGAATATCTACAGAGCAAAATGTTGTTTTTTGACACCCTTTAGATTGTCTTCTATAGTCTACAATTATTAATTATTTGTTAACAATTGTTCATTTATTTGTCTGGATGCAAAATACCTTATTCTGTCACTCACATGCAGCTTTGACCTGAACTTACTTCTTTTCTACAGGATTTCTTAAGTAGTCATCCTCTCTGCACTGGTATAAACTATTTTATTTTTTAAAAAAGTATATATTTGATTTCAGCCAATATGTTTCAGTTCAGAGTAATTAAAGGGTTTTTTGTATGTGTGTGTTACAAATACAAATGAAAATTCTTATTGATATTGCAGTTATTGTTTATTATAAAACAAAAAACCACCTATGTTTATTCAGTGATAAAGTTGAAGGTTTAGTTGCATAAACACCAGGAATTTCAATGCAGCTTCCCAAGGCACAGTATCTCTTTGCACATTTGAACAGGGTTACTAATGGAACCTTTTCATTATGTAGTGCGTTAACCTTCTCTAATACTGCAGCACAAACATGAAGTACTAACTTTATTTGCCTACTTACATTTCTGTGTATGAAATGAACTTGTTCTGGATACTGCACCAACATTTTGGCCAAAAGCTTCAACTAGCATTAATTGCTATAGCTCCACTGTAGTCAGTGAACAAAAAGAAACAAAAAGTGGGTCTTTTTGGTTGGTGTTTGCATTTAATTTTATTTACAATAATTATCTGTTTATTGATTAACAATTGCAAAACCACTTAAGCAGTTTAGTGTTTTTTGTGTCCTTGACCTTGAGTAAGCACATGTAGGAGATAATAGTGAACACGTTAATGTATTATACTTACTGTTGTTCCTTACTTCTCTTTTGCAGACATTTGGGCCTAGATTTAGTTCCTCGGAAGGACTTTGAGGTTGTGGATTCAGATCAGATCAGTGTTTCAGATCTCTATAAAATGGTAAGAAATCTGTGGGAGATGCCTTTGAGTTTTCACTTTGGGAAGGAAAGAATGGAAAAAGTTTTTATTCTTTACTTGTACATGTTTTCTTGATTTAAGGTAGTGTCATAAGCCGAATGTCTTTTTCATTTGCACCCCAACCACCAGAATAGTCAGTCAGAGTTTAGCAAGAATGAACCAACTTTCTTTTGGAAATAGCATGCTTGTATACATTTTAATTTCAGTTTACAAAGTAGTGTGGTATGAAAACTGGAGAAGGTAACTTGAAATGTTGTTTGTTCCTACAGTTTTCTTGGTTTTTAAAATCTATTGTTTCAGAAGCAGCAAAAGAAGTTCTAAAAAACCAGATCCATCATATACTGCTAATGGGAATCCTTTTAAACTTTGGTCTTTGTTGCTAAAATCAATATGCTAGCATCAAGTGAAGTAGCAATAATATTTTTTAATTTATTTGTAGAATTAGAGAAAAATAGGGCTGGAAAATCTTAAGAGGTCATCCAGTCCATTTTCCTGCTTAATGTCAGAATCAACTGTCACTTGTCATTTATGACAATTTCTTTGTTTCTAAAAATCTCCAGTGACTCCACAGCCTACCCAGGCAATCTTTTTGCTCCGTTCACTGTTTTTGCAGTTTGGAAGTTTTACTAATGGTGGTCTTAACACACAGAGATTTCTCACTGCAGGTTAAGTTTCACATCTTCCTGTCATGTCCAAAGAGAAACTCCTGCGTATTTTCATCATACTTCATGTACTTGAAGACTTAAGTCCTATTTGGTCTTCTCTTCCTCGGACTAAAGAGCCCCATTTCTTTCAGGTTTTTTTTATAGGTCAGGTTTTCTAAACTGCTGGTTCTTGCATGTGTTCTTCAGATGTCATATTACATAATCTGCAGTTTGCCACTGGCTTTTGCAAGTATACTATTGAATTCTGTTAGATGGGAAATAATAAAAAAATCTTGGAAGCTTTAGAGATTAACTGTGGTAATATATTGCAGAGGTCTGTTCATTTGAAGGCACCATGAGCCAGGCAGATGTCCTGGCAAATTTTATTGATATATAATGAAGAAGGCTAACAGATTGATGTTACTCGATCATTACATCAGACAGCAATTATTAACTTTCTGGGAGAAATAGAACTGCTTCCTGTTCTAGGATCTAGTCTTGATCAGCCTACTTTTTCCATTAATTAAAGCTTCTTGAACCTGAAGTCCATCAGCAGTTTGTGTGAGTCCAGATAGTCCTCGAGAGCCACTGTTTGATTCTTTCAGGAGAGTTTGAAGATGCAGATGAAGAATACTTAAGTGAAAAGTCTGCTTCTAGGAGTTGCATAAATAATAAACATTTTTGCCCTGTTTCAAAGATTTTTGGAGCTCACAGGAAAAGGGGAGACCATTGAATAAGTTAATTTAAGCAAAACTAATCCTTGAACATTAAGGCCATGTCTGTTGTGTGGCAATGTTCCTTTGAAAACATATGGGGTACATTTGTGTCGTGGTTTAGGCCTGATTGACAGCCAACCACAATGCAGCACCTCTCTCTCCCTTCCCCTCCAGCAATGAGAAGGGGCAGAGAGCCAGGCTTGGGGTCCAAGATAGGACTGGGATGGGGGAAAATCCCCCTTTCATGATCATGAGCAAAAGGCAGACTCGTTAGGGGAAGAAAAAAAGAACATACATTTATTACAGACACTAACAACACATACCAGAGTAGGACAGTGAGAAGCATTGCCACATCTTGAGAACACCTTCCCCCCACCCCTCCCTTCTTCCCAGGCTCAGTTCTGCTCCCGATATCTCTACCTCCTCCCCTAGTGGCGCAGGGGCAGGGAATGGGGGGTGCAGTCAGTGCTGCCACTTCCTTCATCTTCGGTGAGGGGAGTGTCCAAAACTTGTTACCCCCTGCTCCATCGTGGTCCCCCTCTCACAGGAGACAGTCCTCCACAAACTTTCTCTGACTTGAATTCCTCCCATGGGCCGCAGCGTTCCCCACACTGCTCCGTCATGGGTCACTAACCTTCTCCAACTGGATTCCCTCCCACGGCTGCAGCCCTTCCCGAGCTGCTCCAGCGTGGGACTCCCCCGCATGCTGCAATCCTCCCAGCACTGAATTACAGCAGCGGGGCTACCTTTTTCCATGAGACCCTGGCCTTCTTCGGGCACAGAACCTTGATCAGCTGAGCAGGAACAACAGGCTGTAAATCAATGTCTGCTCCACCGTAGATCTTCATGGGTGGCAGGGGGGGCTGCCCTGCCGTCTCCCCACAGGATACAGGGGGGTCTCTGCTCCGGCACACCTCCCCCCTCCTTTCTTCCTCCGTTCCTCCACTGACCTTGGTGTTCATGCAGCTGCAGCAACTCCTCCTCACAAGTCCGCCTGCCCGTCACCACGTCCCTTCTTAAATACGTTATCGCAGAGGCGCAGCCGATTGGCTCAATTTCCCAAACAGAAGTGGAGCTGACGTGGAGCTGGGGGAGCTTAGAGGAGCTTCTCACAGGGGGCCGCCCCGATAGCCCCCTCCCCTGCCACCAAAAAACTCCACCACTCACTCAACCCAGGACAATTTGAATGAGAAAGTTAGGATTTTCAGGAAAAGTAGTACAATTCCTTCATTGCAGTGAGTTCCAAATTCTGTCATCATTAGTCAATAGTACAGTCACATGAGTACATAGTGAAGTTAAAGTTATTTTAGAAATGTGAATTGTGCCATTAATGAACTCTAAAGCCACTAATGCATTTCACAATTAAACTGTGTTTGGATTCTTCTTTGTTAGTAGGACTATGTGACACAGTTAACTTTGTTTTGAGTCATGATGTAGCTGTAAAGGGAGAAACAGAATGTAATGGCCAGTGGAAAGTGAATGAAAACCTTTCCTGAGATGCTACTTTATTTAAAAATACAAACGAAACCCCCCCAAGCAATTACTAATACTTCTTAGCTTAGTATCTTACAAATAAAATAGTGGGTTTTCTACAAAAATGTCATTATCGTTTCACTCACTTCTAGTAAACTTTTAATTTCCTATTTTAAAATGTTCTTGGTTTTCAGCTATCAAAGATTAGGAAGTGATATGTCTGTGTCTAGGTGGGGTTTTTTGATATTCAAGAGGTACTTTCCCTAAAACAAGGGCACATTTTGTAAACAGGCTATGTAAACAGGTTGCTGGTTTGGATTATTTCCACCATATAACAGTGAATTTCATGGAAAGAACAAAAATTATTACATAAGAAATATTGAAGTACATCACTCTATAGTACTAATTTTTGATGTTTGGTCCTGATTTGTCACAGTCTGAGGAGAGTTTGATGCTATTACAGTAGTTTTCCTTCAAATACAATATAGAAATAACTCAGTACAAAATTAAATCAGTAATGACTCAGAGAATGCAAGATAAGTTGTTATCAGGTTTGCTTTATTACTCTGTGTTTCATTCTGTAGGGTTTTTTACTCTGAGTGCTTGTAGTGCAGCAAATAGCTAATATTTAATTGTCAGAGTAGTCTGATTGTCACCCATCTTAGTCCTGAAGAAAATGTCCACAGTGCAGTTTGCTGCTTAGTTTTGTGCTGGTATCAGGACATGACCATTAGTCAGTTCACACTTCACTGTTGCTTTAGATTGTAGACTCAAGAAGACACTCCTGTCTAATCACATCTAGTTTACAGTCAGAAGTCAATTTTAGGAACCAAAATAGCTGAAATCCTGTTGGTGGTTTGGTTTGGGGTTTTTTTAAACTTCAATTTGGCAGAAATTGAAGAAGACGGGATATGATGGATTGTTTTCATTTTTTTAGTACGGTTTTGTGTTTGTTTTTATTATTTAACAAAAATGCAAGTAGAGAATCCTCCTTGCTCCTGGAAAAATACTTAGTAAGTTCTCAAATGAGCAATGAGGTTTTACATTGTCAAATAAACTTGTGGGAATAGTTGTGAGAGCCCAGTTACTTTTTCATATATGCAGGATTGTAGAATGTTAAATATAACTTAGAAAACAGTCTCGTATTAGCAGAACAATGGATGAGGTAAGTAACACATTAGACTTTCCTACCTGTGACAAATGCAAGCATTTTATACAGAGTAATTAGAATTACTTTTCTTAATAAATTTTAAATTTTAAAGTTTGTGCATCCCTTTTAGCTTTCTGTTTTTTTTTTATTGCTAAGCATATTTATGACTACTATATTCATCTCTTTGTCAGAACTTTGTGATTTGAGGCCTTGTACATCCTGTTTCTCCAGATTACTCATTATGAAGCTAAATACTAGTGGCTTCAGGATGCATGGCGTTTGTCAGAAATTGTTGCTTTACTCCTGAAGGAAACTAAATTGCACTTTCCTTTTGACAATATTATGATTTTAACTAGCATGATGGAACACTTTTTTAAAATTTACATTAGTTTGGAAATTTTGGGAAAGTATGTTGTCAGAATTCTGCCACAGAGCTCAGTGCTGGAGTTACCACTATATTGAAGACGTTGTTTAGCAACAGAAGTCCATCAGAATGTCAGAAACACTTGGATAGCCCTTTTTAGTGAAAGGGCTTACAGGACACAAAGGTCTGGAGGCATTGGCAAAAATTAGAACTGTTCAAACCTGGGGACTAAATATGTTTATCTTTTCTGTAAATTTATTGATTTGAGTATGTGTCTTCAGGATGAATTTGAGAAGGCACAACTATTGGCTATGTTACTGCTAGCTCTTAGCCGTTTCTTTCAACTATCTGAAAAAAACCCCTTGAGTTTACCAGAGTTCCTAATAAATAGACAAGTTTCAAATTAATGCTGCCATCACCTCATAAGTGCTTATTCACACATAACCGGGGGGGAAGTTTATAAAGTAGTTAACAGTTCCAGGGGATTTAGAACTATATACATTTCATTTAGGATGTCTAGAGATGCCATATCAGACATGTTAGTTGATAATCATTGGAAAGATGGGTACAGTTCCAGAATACCAGTAAAGGGCAAGCATACTTTATACCTTTAAAAAAGATGATGGGGGAGGAAGAGCTAGTAATTATTCTCTCCCTGTACAAAATGCTGGAACAGGAAAAAACCATCCAATTATTTGCAACAAGGAGGTGAGTAATAGTGACTGTGAACTTGTTCAGAATAAGCAATTTTTAAAAGTTCCAATTTACTTCCAGAACATAAATGAGTCTAGTGGATAGAGAAAAAGCAGCTGATGCCATATTTAGATTTTCATAAAGATTTTAATTGTTTTTTTAATTGAAATTCTCCTAAGGTCGTTAGTTCTAGATGAAATTGCTGTAAACACAAAGCTAATTAGAAAACCCATACTCAAAAAAAATGTTGAAGAATGGTTATCAATAATTTGGTTAAATAGGAGGAGGGATGAATCAGCTTAATTTCTTGTGGTCATCCTCCATTTTGTAGTGCTTCAGGTTTCATCAATGACTGGATGATGAAATAGTGAGTATGCTTACTAAATATGCAAATACCGCAAAGTTGGAAGTGGTAGTACGTGGGAGGAAAGGATCAGAATTCCAAATAATGTATAAAAATCGAATAAAATATCTGAAAAGTATAGGATACAAGTGAGAATCATAAATGCAAGGTTTTAACTTCTGCAGTGAATTGTTGCTTCAGAAATACAGGTTGGGATGCTACAAGCTTAGGTGGATTTGTAGAAGATTTGAGTGTTACAATGGCGTCACAAGCTGAATGAATTAATCCTTTCATGCTAATGATGGGTAAGACAACAATCAGTGTGCCTAGGTTACCCTGACAAGAATTCAGTTTAAGCATCAGAAAGCACTTTGATGAAGAAAGATATATTGAAATGGATCATCTGATCCATTAAAATTTGCAGAACCTTAACAGGCAACTGACTTCTGGGAAAATAAAGGTAGAACTGATTTTTTTTTTTTTTTTTTTTTTTTTTTATAGAAGGAAGATGGATAATTTCTTAACAGTCCTATTTTTATGTCATCTTGCCAGGCTTTTCAGGTTAGAAGGGGCCTCAGGGGAGATCTAGTCAAGCTTCCTGCTCAATGAAAGGTCAATACTGAATTCATACGGGGCTGCTCAGAGCTTTGTCCAGTTGGATCTTGAAATCCTTCAAGGAGAAAGATTGGGTCCCTGCTCTAATGCTTGATTGCCTTGACAGGGTTATTTTTTAACTTGTAAAGTTGCGATGTTCCACATTGTAGTTTATGACCTCAGTCCTCCTACTGTGCAGCTCTGTAAAGAGCCTGGCTGATGATAACTTCATAGTTATTGGAAGGTTGCCATCAGGTCACCTCCAAAGCTTCTCCAGACTAAAAAAGCTGCATTCTATCCATCTCTTCTCATACAGTAGGTGTTCCAGCTCCCAGCTGCTTTGGTGGTCCTTTGCTGAATGGGGTGCAGTATTTCAGATATAGTTTACTGAATGCTGAGTAAAAAGGAGTAAATGTTATTCTTAATCTACTGGCTACATTCCCATTAATAGAAACACTAAATTGTTAAATGTCCTCGCTTCCAGAGTGCTCTCCTGACTTGTTTGGCTTGCCGTTTAGTAGGACCCTGACAGTCAGTTCCCAGCCTGTAGCATGAAAGGATTAGCCTGTCCCATGTGCAGGACTTGTATTTGTCCTTGCTGTATTTCATAAGGTTCCTTTTAATTAATTCCTCTGAATGTAGGCCTACTTCTTGAAAATGTTGACTGCTGCCACTAATTTAAGATCATCTGCGAATTTATTAGACTGCATAGGTCTCAGGATAAACCTCTGAAGAACACATGCCATCAACCACTACCTTCTGAGCCTGACAATCCAACTGTTTGTTGGGTTTTTTTTTCCAGTATAGTTAGCCCACCCACCCAGGTGTAACATCACAACTTCGGTACAAGGATGCTGTGCAAGACCGTGGGGCAGGCCTTGCTGAACTCAATATAGACAACAGCCACTGGTCTTCACTCATCTACAGATCTAGTCATTTTACCCTAGAGGGCTAGCGTGATCAAGCACGATGTGACCTTGGTAAATCCATGTTGGCTATTTTCAATCACCCTCTCATTCACGTACCCAAATATGGCTTCTAAGAGAGCACATACACTTTGGACACTTTGCCAAGGCAGAGGCAAAGGTATGTAAAATTAACTCAGTAGTTGTCTGTATTGTAGTAACATGGTCCTGAAGCCACAAAAGCAGAGTTAGAGGAATCTAGTCTTTTGGTTGTGACGAATTTAAAACCTGATTTTTAGCCACTTATTGTTACAGGTTTACCTAAATGTGTGCTGTGTAAGCAGTTGTGTTCGCTGAGGAAACTGTAGCTCTGTGGACCACCTCTCATATTTCTGTTGCTTGAGTTTGTCTCCACCTTTCTTACTCTGATTTAGAGACTACTTTTAGTCAAAAGAAGACAGGATACCTTGAGCAGCTTAAATAACTGGTCTTTTCTATGCCAGCTGATTCTGAGTGGTTGCAGGTGACAGAAAGATTAAATATGCAACTCAGACACCTAAACTTAGAGGGTTTTAACATTCAGAACACAGTGCAGTAGTTAGACAAACAATGGAGCTAGAGATCATTATTTCTTCTGCTGACAGTGTGAAAGAGGACGTTTTTATAACTGTGAACGTAAACAGATGTCAAAATATGCCATTTAACTTAATATCTTCTTGATTTAGTCTCATTATGAAGATTACTTCCTTTTGTGGTAAAAAGTCTTATTTTTTTCTGTGTGAGACAGTGGCATAGTTTGGAAAAAGTATTGCTGAATACTTTTTGTGGATTATTTTTTACTTTCACCTCTTTTGAAGTGATGAGGTTATCAATAGATTGAGCTGGTCCTTCTACAGAGTATGTGTGTTTGGTCAAGATAAGGTTGTGGGTGTGTAATAGAAGGATAGAGATGGGGCAAATGAAGAGAATATTTATTAACATGTGGTAGTGTTAATGTTAATTTTTCAGTTTAAAATGCTAATGTTAACATGAATGTGTGTGTAACAGGCATAGCAGAATCATTAATGATAGGGTTTTTAAAGCTCTCTGAAACCTTTTCAATTTAGATTAGTATTTAAATCTCCCTTTGGAGATTAAATGGGTTCACTGAGTCTTGCAGTCCATTTTCTGATTATAACATCTCCGTCTAGCATAAAAGGCTTTAAACACAGGATCATCCTCTGAGTTCCATTTCAGAGGTGTAGCTCTTTATAGTGATGATGCTTTACAGGTGTTGGCCAGCTGAATTGTAGAAGAGTCTTTAACCACTTATCAAGATTTCATTTTCTGATCAGAGCAAAAAGTTTAAATGAAGTCTGAAATCCATCCTTCTTTCTAGATGCCTGTTTTTTAACAAGCGCACCTTTTCATAGGCAACATACTGGTCGATGAGGATTAGGAGTGAGGTATCTCCCCATTTAGCAAGAGAACATATAGATTGTATATACAGTATAGGGTGATGGGCTTTTCAACAAAAAATGGTATTACAGTGTTGGAAATTCTGTCTAGCTCGTGACAGCCATTTATGTTAAGAGCTAAGGTAAATACCACCTGTAAATTCAAGTAGCTAGGCTAAGAAATGGCTTGTCTGAAAAATGCCTTTAGGAAAGCTCGTAGTCTTGTGAGTGGTGATGCACTGTAAAAAAAAGGCCATGAAAAGTTGCTAATAATCTTGAACAATCCTATTTTTAAATTGCTGTTCTAATGCGACACAAATATAAGTATTTTCTACTTTCAGAAAGGTTTAAATTTTACTATTTTGTATCTCCACAGCATTTGTCAAGTAGACACAGTGTCCAGCAGAGCACATCACAGGTAAATGTCATCTACATAGGAATTTTTGTTGTCTTTTAGTGTTTGATAATGTATGTAAAAGTATAACAGAGATTATTGGGTAAGTCCTTACCCATAGAACACTCCCTCAGAAGATCTGCAAGTAATTAGCTTACTAAGTTCCTTCTTCAACTTCCATTTTAGGCCTGTTTTCCTTAGCATTATGTTCTTAAAAGGTCAACTTCTGTAGTGATATCAAAATCCTCAGTCTGCCCATGTGAGTTTTCTTTCCACCTGCTAACACGTGGCTTAATAGGCTTCTGTTTCACATATCCCTTCTGTAGTAATCTAATCCTTTCCCGGTCATGGAATCTGGGTTTAATCTTTTCAGGAGAACTGTGCTTCCACAGGTACCTGTCTTTAAAGGATGAAGATTTATTTGGGTTTAATTTAAAATCCAGAACAAAATTAATTTTAAACTATTTTTTAAGCCAGTACAAATCTGGGTTGAAAGCTTGAAAATGTTAAGATCATCTTTGTTAGTATATACCTGTCTAAGCATTCAGAGGAGAGTAGCCTAGCAAGCTTAGGATATTCATTCAACCTGTTTATTAAGATCAGCATACAATGGATATAAGGGGAAGTGGTTGAGTCACCATCTCTAGAGATACTTAATAGCCATGTAGACGTGGCACTGAGTGACGTGGTTTAGCGGTGGACTTGGCAGTATTAGGTTTATGGTTGGACTTGATGACTTTAAAGGTCTTTTCCAGCCTAAATGATCCTATGTTTCTATATGTTCTATAAAAAAGAAAGAATGATTTTATTTCTAACTATACTCTTTTTTTCCCCCACTCCAATTTTTACTGTTGTAATTAGGTCTTGATATACTGAGTCAAAAAGTAAACCTTTCTGCTATTTGATTTTATTTGTTGCTCATGTTATAAACCATTGTTAAGATTTCTTTTTGTTATACCTGCAAGGCCTATTAGTCTGTAAACAATCTGGCATGTATTTCTATGGTAAAATATATTTGAGATTAAGCTTTTACTTGATGGAGAACAGAGAGCAGAATATCAGTTAAAATTATCAAGTTGGCCACATGTCCTTTATTTGTGAAGAACTAAAAATAATTTTCATTGTTTTTAATCAGGTGGATACAATTCGTCAGCGTCATGGGGAAGCTTGCCGTATGCCAGTGCCTCACCACTTCTTCCTCAGTTTAAAGAGCTTCACCTACAATACAATTGGAGAAGACACAGATGTCTTTTTTTCTTTGTACGATGTTCGAGAAGGCAAGCAGATCAGGTAGGACTGTATCAAATGGCTAAAAAAGCTTCCTAGAAAAGAAATCACAAACAAAGCAAATACACTGGAGAAAAACAGGTGAGCTGTTCTTTTGACACCTGAGCGGACCAAGCTGATAAATCACAAGTTGACAGCCCTGTAATGCGTACATGAGAATATCAATGATACTAATCATTCCATATGAAATTTAGTGCTTACGTATAAGCAAATCATGAAAGACAGAATAGTTGAATTTTGTTTAGGTTTCTGACTTTGCCTCCACACAATTACTGAAGGTCTTAGTGTTTAGTAGCTGCCTTCTTCAGGCTGTTTAAGTAGTACTAATAACAGCAGGGCCACACTGTATGACTGTTTTGAAAAGAGGGCTGCTGTGTGTTTGGATGCTGAATTGAGGCTCTTTAACGCTCATCCACTCCTTGCCTTACAGTCATGTTACAGTGTAGCTTGTTTTCATTACTCTGTTGCTATCAATATAAACTAAAATATTCCTATTCATCCCTGTGTCTAGGCTGGACAAATGTGCTGCTCAGTACTTTGATATAATTGGTACTAATGTTAGCAAATATGAAATGTGCTGTATTTTTCCTTTACAAGCATGTGTTTTGAAAACATCAGAATATGTAGAAGAGTATTGCAGCATATTCATTGTGTCTTGGAAATTAGGTAAGTGTAGCTTGGTCTGATCCGAAGTACAGCATGTTTGTGGGGGTGTTTTTGAGTTTTGATTAAGGCATGTCCTGACAGTTGGCACAGACCACATCTGCTGCCGCGGTCAAAACTGTCCTAGTTTTCAGCAAATTAGATTTAGATTTGTTCCAGACTGAAGATGGAGCCCCAAAATGTTCTTTCTTCTCTTTGGAAGAACATATTATGTGAATAACACTCATCCAAGAAATTTCAGGGTAGAGTGATAAGTTTTGTAGCTCTTCAGAATACATCCCACTAAAAAAGTGGTCTATATTAGGAGCTCTAATGACTTGATTGCAGCTTATAAATATGTGCCTGCCACTGTTTAGTTAGGCAATTTAAATATAATTTTGCAGGATATGGCAAGAATATCTAATCTGATACTACATCGTGTTTACTTCACCCCCATTAAGTGAGAAATGCTTGTTTTGATGTAGTTAGGAGGACATGCCTATAATTCCTCTGTTGAGAGAAGGAACAGAAAATAACTGTAAAGTGGAAAAGGTGAAAATGGCAAAACAAAAACAAAAAATACGCACAATTAATTAATTCATACCACAAAACAGTAAAATACCAAATTATTTAGATGAGGAAAGCTGCAGGGAAGAGGAAGTGACAAGCTGCTGTCATGACTGTAGAAGGCCTCAGAAATTGCTTCAAAAGGAGATGCAGTTTGCATGGAATGTAAATGTTAAGTGAGAAAGCCTTTAGAAGGGATTTTGCTAGTGATAAAAAAAAATAATAGTTATAATGAGAAAAAGTACAAAGAGTGGTTCAGGCATATTTAAATTTATATAATAATGCTTTGATGTTCAAACAGTTGTTATTAGTTCTTCGTATTATGCATCAGTGATGCTGCAGTGAAAACAGCATAATTTTTACATTTTCTTACATCTCAGAAAGCAGTGGGGAAGAAGTGTGTGATGAGGCTGAGCTCTGTTTTAGGAAAGAAATTTAAAAGCAGAAAACAGACAAAAACACTGCTACAAATTTAGAATTATGTTTTTATATCTACTTTAAAAGATTAAGTTTATTTCCTCTTCTATATGCCTGAGGAAATAGTGCATTAAGGTGAAGAAAACAAGCAAAGTTTCTGCATGCAGCGTTCTAAATGGAAAGGACAAATTGGCTTTTCTGAAATGGTTTTGAGGTTGATGAATTTCTTACCCAAACAGGTCACACTGGAGGTTGACTGACTTTCAATATTAGTGCTTTGGACATATAGTAGATTACAAAACTCACTGAACCTGTTGGTTGCAATAGTTATTTCCCAGTTAAGTGAAGAATCGGTGGAAGTTCTAGTGTTTTTTGAGAGCTGAAGTAATAGCAGTACCAATTATGCATTAGCAATTAGAAGGTTGGAGCAGCAGTTAAAATACAGTTTGAGATGTATTCCCAGGTTCCGAATACAAATATGGTACTGTGCTGTATTTGTATGGTTTGTACTGTCTACAAATGAGAAGCTGACAAAAGATAACTGGGGAGATATGGATGGCAAGAGTAACAGTGCTGCTATCAGAGGGGTAAGACCTAGAGGTAAGAAAAAAAGGGAAAAAGTGACTTTATAATTCTGTCAGAGTAAAAATTAAAAGAAATACTTGTAAGTAAATAGAACTGAATTGATGAATGTCTACCTCAACAACTTCTTTCAGCCCACAACACAGCCGACCTGTCAATCTGAGGATGAGGTAATGGCTCAGATCAAAAGGGATGAAAGTCTATCTGTATGTTTTAAAGTATTTGTGATTTTTTGTTGCTAAAATGGTCCCTTATTTTTACATACATTAGTCTGGCAACAAAGTCTTTGTTACTAAACTTTAATACCTCAGGTTTTTTGCCATGTGGAAGTTAGCAGAAAACAATGAGAAAATTGATCTACTTTTGATTACAGCCAATGGGGAAGTACAGCCCCATAGTGAGAAGCACTTTGGGATGAATGGTCATGAAATAATAGAGTTGATAGTAACTAGAAAAGGGAAGAAGAAAAACATTAGCATAAAGATGTTGAACTTCAATAAGGCAGGTGTTAGTAAACATCAAAAAAAGATAGGTAAACTGACACGGAGGAAAGAAATTTGAGAGTTGTCGGTTTCTGAACAATGCTATTGAGGAGCACAAAAGCAAATTGTTTCAGTATGAGGGAAAGATTGAATATATGGAAACAACAGAAAGTCTGTATCATGTATTCTTTGGTGAAATGGGGTCTGGAATTAAAAACAGAAAAGGAGAAACAAATGAAATTGCCCAAAAGGGAATGGGACTAGACAAACTTGTAGAAAAAAATGCAAGTAACAAAAGACATCAAGGACAAAGAAAGAATAATGCTAATAAAGCTTTAGCACCAAAAAATTTTTTTTACAAAATCAAGAAATAACTGAACAGATTAAAGGGGACATTAAGCTATCAGCAGATATTACCAGTGTTGCTGAGTATTTAATAGCTGTTTTGCCTCAATCTCCCTCAGAAGGTCAACTGCAATTGGATGACAAATGCAAAAAGTTCTGGAACAAATAAACTATTTATTAGCACTTAGAAGATAACAAGATGAAAAGTAAAAGTCAAAATAGATTTGTCAAGTACAAGTCACATCAGAGCCAACTAATTTTGTTCTATTATATGGGAATATGCCTCATGCCTCAACAGAAAAGAAGCATTAAACTTGTTATGGTAAATCAGGGAGATACAGACCAGACGAAACTACTGTAAAGGGGCTGGAAAACTGGTGGAGAAACTGATCTGGAGTGTTATCTGTGCTGGAAGGATGCAATGAATAAGATTTTGACTTAAGAAAAAAAAAAACAAACCACAGCAAACAAACAACATTTTGACAGCATTATTCTGATGGGCAGAAATAAACTAAATTCAGTAAATCTGACGTTTAGCTACCTTTACAATAGCTCTTTTTTTACTAATAAATGCATAAATTATTCATGACTTCAAAAATGACACATTCAAAAGCATGATATCAATTCCTTTTCTGAAAATAAACTTGAAGATTCCGCTACGTGTGGAAGAGCATAAATACATTTCAGTATGACTTTTTTCCTTTAGAAAGTTTATGTCCAAATATGTAAAGGTTTTTTATTCTGTCTGCATCTTAGACCAGAATAGATGTTTCTAGCACTATTTTAACAGCTACTCTATTTTACTCCCCTGGGATTTAAAAGTTTCTTGTCATCTAGAAATATCTGTAATTATGGAGAGTGAATAGAACAAAAAAGAAAATCTGATGGGATGAAATTTGAAAAACTGGGGCCTAGTCGGTAATTATGCATGGAAAATAGTGTCATGCATGTTACTGCTTGTAACTCCTCCATCTGCCTCCTTACTGTGTCTGTACCATGACTGAAAATTTTGGAAGATGTGATAAGTATCCATGGTAGTGTTGATAGCTTTGATGGAGGAAGTCCATGTGTACATTTCTCATGTAGAATATACTCAAGACCTTTTTGTTGTGACACCAGATTTCCTCTACAGCGTCTGTAGGCAGCACACGTTTGCTGATGATTTCCTCTCTTTAATACGTTGCATTATGAGAAGGCCTCACAGTCTTTCAGCTGATCTATTCAATCAGAATGCACCACTACCTGGGTTTTTTTAATTTGTTCGTTCTTTCTTTCTGCATAGTATCTTTTCTTGCTCCCATGTTGTCTTAATATTGCATTCTATGGAGTACAAGGATGGTCCATTTTGACATGCTAAGACAGGATTAGAAAAGTTGAAGTCTCAGCTGGAGTTGAATGTAGAGAGGGAGAGAAAGATAAACGTGCACACGTGGCTGCTATAGGTACATGGGCAGCAAATGGAAGACAAAGGAAAACATGTCCCATATGTTCATCAGGGCAGTATGTGACGTGACATGAGGAAGAGGTAACTACAACCAGTGACTGTTTTAAGTAATTAATAATCTCAGTTTAAACAATTGTAGTAGCAACAGGTGGCTGTACATATTTTTAGATGTAAATTTACAGTGGAGATTGGAGGCTAAGTACATTTACAGTGACATGGTAATGAAACTTAAGATTTTGTGTCATTGATGCTTTTTTGTAGTATGTGCACAAAGACAGACGTTGAAAGTACATTCTTTGGTTTGCATTGTGCAGTACTCAAAAGTTAGTTGCTCCTGATTTACTGCTCTTGTGCCATCTGCCTTATAATCAGTTCTTCACTTACATACTCTTCACATCATACTTCACTTCACATACTCTTCAGGGAACACCATACTGTACATTATATTTATCTCCTTGATGCTTATATGACTCTTTTTCTATTATTAATATTTATTACTCCATTCTGTCTAATTCAAAAATCTG